ATCGACATTTTTTGGATTGAGAAAATATTTTGTCCGGATACGTCTCAGTTTCGGACATGGACTTTATCTTCCCAGACCAGCCCCTAAATTGTTTTTTTACGTGAACGTTAGTGTTAATATGCACTAGTTATAATAGCGTACACAGTTATGGATGTTTGTAGGGACGGTCAGCTTACTACGTACTAACTACTAGTAAGTAGGGTGTATAGTTTATGGACGTTTATAGGATTGGGAGTGTAGTGGTGGTAGGTTTCTTCGCGAGATTTGGTTCAACTAAAACACTGATTGGTCTTCGGTGCGGCCAAAGAAGAGCCAGTTCACGAATTGATCAATCGACGACGGCGGCTGCAGCACGCCCTTGAGGATCTCGCGGTCCACGGCAATGCGGTTCTTTTCGCGGGTGGCGGCGGCGGTTGTGCTTCGCTTCATGTCATACGCGAGGCCAACTGACGCCATGAGGTCAATGAAGCCCTTGGTCGGGTTCCACTGGCCGGTCACGCCCATCTCGCCTGTGGCATAGTCGGTGGGGTACCGGTGGTGGTAGTTATGCCAGCCTTCGCCGATGGCGCCGATGGACACGAAGAGATTCTCGACAGCGCGGCTGTTGCGGTCGTACGGTTTGTACCCAAAGAAATGTGCGACGCTGTTCACGCACCACGTCATGTGCAGTACCCAAACATGGCGATAGACGCCGCCAATCCAAAAACCTTGCCACGCCGAGTCGAAACAAAGGTACCCAACGATCGACGGGAACACGTAGCACATGAGCAAGACGCTGGCGAGGTAGTGCTTCTTTTGGAATTGCACGAGCTTGTCGTTGTCCAAGTCGGCAAAGTTCATCTTCTTGCCCTCTCGGAACACGTCAGCGTGCTTGCGGACCATGACCCATCCCATGTGCGCAAAGAAGAACCCACGACGAGAGTTGTGCGGGTCCGCAGTCGTGTCGCTGCCCTTGTGGTGCACGCGGTGGTCGCGCGACCATTCATAGATACTGCCTTGGAACGCCATTGAGTTGCAGAGCGCGAGGAATATTTGAAGGGGAAGACGCGCTTTGTACGATCGATGCGCCCACAGACGATGCGCGCCGGCAGTGATGCCAAGCCCAGAGAAGAACCACAGGCCGACCCACAGCGTCAGGATTGCAACGAACGACGCTTGAGGGAGGACAAAGAACAGCGTGTACACAGCCATGGCGTGCCATACGGAGAGGATAATGACGTTGTACCATACAACTTCGCCCCATGAGAAGGTAGGTGTCGGCGACCCGAACACCGGCCTGGGTGGCGCCGCATCGGTGGTGGTCGTCATGTGTGGAGAGGGACGTGTGAGGAGGACGATGTAAATGCCGCACTGACTGCTTTTTTTTCTTGTGTTGCGATAGGTACTATTTTAACCAATAAAATGACAGAAATCAGTTTCTAGCGATTGGATTGGATGTATCATCCCCTAACCCGCTTCGAAACCACCGAGAATTCGATTGCACATGCTTCAAACTTCGAGATTTGATTTCTACGAGTGAGTACCTTCTTAGAGACCTCAACTTCATGGCGGCAGAGAGAGAGATATGTGGTATCTCGGTCCATCGCATGCGAGACGCATCGCCAGTGTCACTTACACTGCGCAAAGAGGTATTTCTACTTCACAAAACACCTGAGCATATCATCATCCATGCGCTGCGGCATAAACGTGCTACCGACGTCGTAGAAACACTGTCAGTATGAGGTGTCGCCTTTGGGGGTTATCGCTTAAAAATACAGCCAATCATAGTGCAGGAGACATCCGAACATCCAATCAAATGCGTTATTGATTCAAGCCACGTGTTGGAATTGTACAGTAACAGTACTGTATCATCACCATAAGCAGCTTCAGTTAGTCAGCTTTCGACTTACTAGTACCCCTTCACAGGTACTTACTTAGTACGTCTTAACAGGTTTCATTTGGTATGGTACTACTACTCAAGCTCTACTCTCTCGTAACTGTACAATAAGCTTAGTGTGGTGCTCTAACAGTAAGTGTATTTTCCTGTCGTGTTGGCAAGAAGTGGTGACAATGTC